GTTGTACTGCACTGCGTAAATTGTTCATCTACAGCCGAGAGACAAGTCGCCATTTGAGGCAGACTAACTTTAAGCTGTATATAAACATACACACAACACAATTAAAAAAATATTCAGTTGTACGTCTTTTTTATTGAGTAGGACCATCGAAGTAGCACAATTTGTAGAAGGTATAGTTTTCGTCGCGCGAGCACGGACAAGCTTTTGTGGCTACCTCCACGTATCCGTTCCTGCCCTATAGAGATGTGTATGCTGTGTATAGGCAAGTGGCTCCCGTTGGTACTCCAGCGCAAGTTCCCGTACCGGACGTCCAATAAATCCGGTCGCAGGCTGCCAGACCCTGCACTTGACGATCACGTCAGCCACCGGGCGTCTCACATCAGCGAACCGCAACGAGTTGCGTACGCAAATTCATGCCGCACCATGTCACTTTTTCTTCCTGGTCGCGACTCTCATTCGAATTGCCAAGCGGATTTTTTTTTTCTCTCACTCTCTCCGGGTTCCGCTCCAGAATGCGGCGCTCTTATCTGCCTTTACGAGCCGCCATAACTCCCTTTCCGGAAGGGCCGAGGACGAGTTCCTTCTTATGTCACCCCAGCGTCACGTCTTTCCGGAGGACGACCAGAAGCGCCGACGTCTCGGGTGCAGAACGCTTCCCCGGTAATAGACCCTTTCCGGAATTCAGTCTGGCCACTTTGATCATTATCATCATCATCTGAAAACGGCATATGTGCTATACTAATGGCGGCCTTCTGTTTACTGATGGAGGAAGAAGTTGAAGATGCTCCTAAGCAGATGATTTGTGGCCTATACATTTTAGATGTTAGCGCGGCGTGAGGCAGGAATTGGACGCAAGAGCTGCGTAAGAGTTCATTTCTAACTCGGTCCCAGTCAATCTGTTAGTAACACTCACTCGGCTTCAAAGCCCCTTGATGTATAGAAATCTATCAAGGCGTCTATGCGGCTTGGCGCTTCGTTCCGACTGACTGCATTTGTTTCGTCATTGACACTATAAGAGATTGAAAAATAATTGTAGTGAAGTGCACATTCTCGTTTACCGTTGACCTTTAAGTGAAGGATCCCTATTAAATACTGCAGACCACAGGTTCATTGCCGCCATTAGTATAGTAAAAGATAAACTGCCATTTGAGTCACCAGATGGCACTGAATTCCGGAAAGGGTCTATTGACCTATCGGGTGATGCGTCTGCTCTTTTCGCACGTCGTGCGTTTTGCTTACCCTAGGGATGCGTCCAAGATCCCCTAGAGATGCGTCCAAGTGCTTGAGTCCCCCCCCCCCCCCCCTCCCCCCTCCCCCCGACCTCGACCAATGACGGCTCGCTCTTGACTGCCTCGTCACTGCACGGTCTCTGCCCTGCCCTTTGATAGGTGTGCTTCTCCTTGCGCCCCTATGCGCCAAAGACGCGTTTTGAAACACTTGCTCCCCGTATAGTAATTGACAGCTTAAAAAGGGCCATGAAACAATTTTTTTTTAACTTTCGCTAGATACTATTGAAAATCACTCCCTGGCGTTAAAACTGAATAAACTAGCCTTAGTTTTTCCTTTCTAAGCAATGGCAGTCGGCAAATAAATTCCAGATCTATGAGCGTCGTTCATCCCCTCAACTCGGAGCCAGAACAAGCACCCATGTGGCCTGCTGCCTATCATATATGCCGCCAAGGTTAATTATAGCCACGCCCACTGAGGCAGACTAACTTCCGGCTGTATAAACATATACACAACAATTTGCTTTGCTGTCTACCTTGAACCGAGAGATTCTGGGTTAAGTCACCATCCCTGCCCGTTTTGATCTAGATGAAAATCGTAAAAGCATGCAGTCGTGTATCACTACTGCGTGGTGCATGTTAAGGACCCCATCAACAATCAATTCGTCCACGAATATTTGAATTCGTGTTCCTGGCCAATGAGTGCCGTGACGGAGCTTATCATCGCTTGCGTATGACAAGTTTCATGGTTTGCTTAAAAAAAGACGGTGGAAGTTTGGATTCATCGTGGGATTTTTCATTTCAATTTGGGTTTGAGGAGAAAAGCTAAAGAAGCCCCTTCATGGCCCTTTCAAAGGGATACCACAGCGAAACTTCGGCGCTTATTTCTTGGTCTATACGTGTTCAAAGGAGCAGCAATCACATCGGAGACACCACTCTGTCGTTGAAAAAGACAAGAAAAGAAATTTTAAAACAAATTAAAAGATTACCGAATGGCACCTGGGGGATGTCGCTAAAGCCTAATTTGTAATCTCTCTCTAGTAACACTGACACGTAGTGACGATGCCTGTCTCGCCTAGAACTATAGCGTCACTGGTGCCCCAGGTGTGCAAGTGTGGCTGCGTGTACGCGGGAACGTAGCTTTGGAAAGCTTGTAATTGCATGCACTTGCCCGCATGAGCAGAGACATGGCGGCTGCCATATGCCCTGCTTGCAATCGTCTCGTCGACGTCAGCCTCACCGTAGCTTTGCTCGTCCCGGGACAGGCTACGTCACGATTGCGCCGGATGTCACGTGCTCTCCGGTGGCTGCTCTCCGAGTGCTTGCCTAAGCAGGCCTCATAACAAAACATACAGTCATCACGATCAAAATACAAACGTGCGATTGTCATTTATGGATATTCAGCCTATTTCTGAACGCGACGGGTATATTTAAAATTTCGTTCAAGTGTCCCTTTCACCAACGCCGGTATCGAATCAACAGGTATCGAGTCAGCAGTCGGAATGAATTTAATCTCGAGGATGAACTAACTATTTACAAAGACAGGGGGTGCCACAAACTTTTGGCAGATAATTTACACAGACAGTAGATGGAAACGTATACATCTCCTTACTTTAAGAAAGATCGGAGGTGGAGGCAAATCGCAGAATTTAAGTTCACAAATTCAAACGAGCCGGCGGAATAACACGTCGGCCACTGCGAATTCTCCCAACACCATCGCTGTCCCTTGCGACGGGGGCCGGTTCCTCGGCCGGCCGTGGCTCTGCCGGGTTTGCAGGTTGTCGAAATGAGCCAGAAATGTCGACGTGCTGCGCTGCCTCAGGTAAATTCTGAGGTTGTTCTGTTTCACCTAAATGCACAAGGTGGCGATGGTTGCATTGAAGAACGCCACCACGTTCAATTTCGACAATGTAACACCGTGGTCGCTGAGCTGGATTCAACACCGGAGCCTGAACTTCCTCAGGTCTCACCCAGACTACCACGGTAACGGTAGTACGGTAACGGTACGGTAACGGTTAACTAAAGGTCCTTATTCACTGGCGAAAGAAAACGTTGGCAACGTCGCCACGCACGCGGCAGTGTTTCGCAACTTTTTTCACGCGAAAAGTTTATAGCCCAGGCTTTCAGGTGAAGTGAAGCCTCAAAAATTGTAACCGCGAATTTCCCCGCTAAAGTTTGCGGGGAAAATGACGTCACATGGCTTCATTTCACGTGACCTTTACACACGTGACTTATACGCCTTCGTTACGAGAAGCTTTTAAACCGCCGAGATGGCACCAAGGAGTTGAACGTAAATGCACAGCTGAGCAAATGCAAAAGCCAAACTAAAAGTTTGTCGGGACAATCCAGATGACGCCCTGCTTCAAACCGGAAGTGACAAAACTGAAAAAAAATATTTAGAGCGGTCCTGGTTGGAATGCAAGAACGCGTCTTGATGGGAGAGAGAGAGAAAAAGGGGGAGAGATTTCTTTTGTGAAGTTGTTGCTGACTTCTCGCACGTGTCAGCTCCGAAGCGCGGCGTTGTTTCGGGAGCATGAGTTCATCTCTCCGCGGACCGTAAATGGAATGTCAAACTTCCTCTCGCGAGCGTCTCAAGATTTGATGGATGCATTCAAATCAAAAGCGCGCGCGCGCGCCAGTGGTTCGTTATTTTGCTTCCGGCAACCAAACGTTCTTGCTCGATTAAAAATGCATGTATAGTTTACCTGATAGACACCTGCAGTATTTATTGTGAGATATACACCTAGATTACCACACTGTGCTTTTGTTATAGTCACAGATGAACCGCAGGGCGTCGCGAGTCCCATGCATATTATTAGCTTTCCACAGCCAATCAGATTAAGGGATTAGCCGATAAGAACGCTAAGATCGAATCACGAAACAAGACGCGTAAGGTGACCACAGCTTTCTCATCCAGACGCTCGGTCAATCATAATGTATCCCGTGACGTTACAGTGTTAAACACTTGACCGCATTGCGGTCCAATCACAACAAGTAAGACGTCTTTCTCATTCTTGTAAAGCTTGCTGAGGTATGTAGAGGCGTGATCATATTGCTTCAAATCGAATAGCGAAGCATCATCTCCAGTTTCACTACTGCCAATAGAGCCGGTTTCTCGATAAATTTTCTTAGCTCTGTGAAGGCTAACACTGACTCAGCACTATTCGATCTGAACCCCTCTCGCGCACTCCTACAATTGAGGTTTATCGTTCGCTAGTGGCAAAGCAGAGCGACCCATTTTTTAGAAGTCATTCGAGATGATAAATCGTAATATCTTTCCTGGTTTATGAGTAAACGCGCCTGCTTTACTTTATTGAAACGTGAGTGAGATGTAAGAGGCACTCCGAAAACAAGAGAGCCAGCGGTTGCGTTTCACTGGGTCACTGTGCCTCCTTTCACTCTCGCTCAAGCGTGGTACGTTGCAAGAACCACCGGACTCAAGACAACAACGAAAATAACGAAACACAAAAAGGCAAATAAACGAAGACAGTATCTGGCCGTTCGTTCTGCTCGGACGACGTGCTCGTCTATTCTCAAAGTACACACATAAAGAACCGACTGCGCGGAGAGCTCGTGCGGGAGGAAGAGGAACTGCGGACAGTTCCTTCCGTCCTGGTAGGTTCGCACTCTGCAAGCAGAATGCTTGAGGGACTTTCTCGAGGAACCGCTTTTGCACTCCCTTGATTCGTTTGCGGGGAGAGCGGCTTGGGGAGATGGAGAGAGCGGTAAATTGTTTGACCGCAGGGGGGTTCCGATTGAAGGGGTGTGGGTGGGACGTCCGCGACTTCCAGGGTATATAATGGACTGAAAATCTCTCGCAAGTTACCATCATGAGACTCCTGGTGAGTTGAGATCGGCTGGTTGTTTCCAGCGTCACCATTGCTTGGTTTGCTTTCTTGTTTCAGGAAAAAACTCATTGGTCAAGTTGTTGATTCTACGCTAAAAATGATTCATCTTTTTCGCATGTACCTGGCCAATTTACGTCTGAGAAACCCATGGAAACAATTAGCCAACACTGTTTATGAACATAAAAACAAAATAGCCTGCTTATGAGCATCGTAGAAATAGCACCGATTTCGGCGAATATAGGGTTTCCGAGCCTTTTTTTTTTTTTTTTGACGCGATTCGGCGTATTAAATCAGTGTTTATCTAGAGGATCTGGGGTAGTACATGAACCGAATGTAGACACCGGTATGTTCCTCCTACATTTTTGTTCAATCTCATGAGTTTCTCAATGACGCGTCTTTACTTTACAATATTTTGCAAACTTTACAAACTTTACAATATTGACATATAAGATAGTCGAGATATTACCTTTACAATGTTTACATATGCCATAGTCGATAGAATTTTGTGTGCCAGTGGCGAAGACTATAGGAGATTGTCTAGTGTTCTCCCTGTGCTACAAACTATGGTAATTGACCGAGTGTATTTCCTCTCTTCACCAGACCCTGCATGGCAGTTTAACTTGGCAGCCGATTATATTGAACATAATAGTTGTGCTCTAAAGTTTCATGCATTTGAGCACTAGTCATATATTCCTGAGCTGTCCCCAGTGAATACGTTTGAGTATTCTGACGGTGATTTCCGCTTTTCAGACGGTCGCCTTCGTCATCTACCTGACAATAGCCAGCACGCATGCGTTCAAGAAGAAGAAGTTGCTGGCCCTTGCAGCCCTGGGAGCCGGAGGAGCCGGGCTCGGAGGTCTGGGCGGACTCGGCGGTCTTGGACTTCTCGGACTGCACGGCCTGCACCATTACGGTGGCCACGGAGGCTACGGAGGAGGCTACGGAGGAGGCTACGGAGGATACGGTGGATATGGCGGATACGGCGGATACGGTGGCTACGGCGGTTATGGAGGCTACGGTGGTTATGGCGGATACGGATGGCCATCCTACGGCGGTTACGGATGGTGGTAATCGACTGTACAGGTTAGTGTTTTCTATTCGGGCTGTCATTTGTGTGACTGTGATTGCGTTGCACTAGGGATTTCCAGGTTCGTTGAACAAACGTGTATTTTGGATGACTTCTGTATTTCGTATACTCTAAGATGGCCAGTAGGCAGTTTTAGTATAGCGTCACAGAGGGCTACCATGGGCACGGCAGTGCTGCTTGTGCGCGCTAACGAGCATGCTTCGGAGGTACAGCTCGAGCTCCCGGTGGCAATACCGCTCCGTGCGGCAACGCTATGCTAAAGCTGTCTATAGAAAAGCATTACACGACGTTACCGTAAAGGCTGGTTCACACAGTACCCTCTTCTTACGTTGCGTTGAAGTCACCGAAATCTTCGAGTCTGGAATGTCGCATACCAGGCTATATCCACGAAGTGGTACCCGCGCTTGATATGAGGCACAGATGTCCCGGTGACTTGTGGGTAATCAGGCGTTAGCTTTCGTAATGTAACGAAAAAAAAAATGGGATCAGCAGTATATGGACCTTTCGTAGATCGTTCGCAAGAGCTTTGCGTTGCTTGCTGTAAGTTGGGCCGTCACCTTGAGCATGGCTTGAGCACGCGCCCGCGGGACCCACAGTCCGCAACTTGCGATACGAAGAGTCCCTAATAGGGACTTTTAACTAACCGTTACCGTGTTCTGCGTACCGCACGACCGGAGCCTTTGAAGCATGCTTTTAAGCACGCGCCTGGGGGATACCGTGACCGCTGCAGGCGCGCGCTTTAAAGCATTCTTCAAAGGCTTGGTAGTATACGGTATGCGGGTCACGGTAATGGCTCGCTAAATATTTCTAATGTTTCCGTTGTCGCCATACCGGAACCCAGCAGGAAATGTACTGTGAAGCAATCATTTTAGCCGACTGTATTCTTAAACCGTAATATTCCTTTCCGGCTGTTTTTTTTTTTTTCTTTTTTTTTTTACGTTTTCGGTTTAGTTTCGTCATGGCTGTAACGCCATGGTTGCAGCACTAAGCTAAAACTCCCAAATACAGGACATGCGAAAAAAATTATGCTACAGAAAATGGGTATTCACTGTTGCTTGTCGCGAAATGTGTGCCAGCGGCGAAGACTTGGTCAAAATAAGACATTACGCTATATAAAACTGATTAGCGCGATGTGTTATTTTTGGTCAAAATAAGGCATTACGCTATATAAAATTGAAAGTCCGCGCAGGTATGCGCGGACTTTCAAATGGAAGTATTGCATATATTTATTTCCTCTACCCAATTTTTTCTACGCGTTAGTGTACAGAGCATAAATTCGTGATTTGGAGGTCACGTCAAGACGATGGTACCTGCACTCGGGTTTTCGAAAAACAGGTTTTTGCGCAAGCGCATGGCCACAGCTTGTGAACTCACCGCAGGCCGTCACGTAACTTTTCTAGAATCCTAGGTCATGCTTCATGAGTAGGAATGCCTAAAGCCCCATTATGTGTTTGCGTTGGCGGCGCAACTCTGAAATGAGCGGCCCTTGGAAGCGAATTGGAAAGGGGGGGGGGGGGGGGGGGGATTCGATGCTTGAGTGGGCTAGCGCACACCTGTTTGGAGCATATGGAGCGAAAGCTCACGCTGCAGAATCCACGAATCCTATAGCTCAATCCGCACCCCTGCCCATTTCGATCTGGATAAGCATCGTACCGGTGTGCGGTTGTGTATCACTACTGCGTGGTGCACGTTAAAGAACCCCAAGCTAGCGGTTGTACTGCACTGCCTAAATTGCTCATCTACAGCCGAGAGACAAGTCGCCCGTTGAGGCAGACTAACTTCAGGCTGCATGAACATATACACAAACACACAATCGGAAGCGAAAAGCAGCGGAGCAGCCGCTCGAGGCACGTGTCTTGCGTGTTTCCACAACTATATGGTTGGCGGCCCGTACTTGCAAGAAAACGCTTTTATCACGGAGCCAAAGCAGATTATACTGAGAGAGTTTGGCCAATGAGCGGAGCTTGCTGCACTCTAGAACCAGCGAATTTTTCGATAACACAAAATGGCCTTACTTCTTTATCTTCTTTTTTTCCTGAGAAATTGCATAGAGTTCATATGAGTCAGACACACAAAATGTCGGACTTAAAGGGGTCATGAAACGATTTTTCTACTTCTTCCTCCTTAGCTTTAATCCTCAACTCAAATGCGAATTGTGAAATCACGTGGTCGTGACATTTCTTCGGCACCGGTGCGATGACTCCTAGCTTCCACCGTGCTTTTTATGCACACCATAGAACTTGTCATTCCCCAGTGACAATAAGTTCCGTCAGGGCACTCATTGGCCACGAACGCGAATCCAAATATTCGTCGACGGATTGATTGTTGACGAGCGCATACGTCCGAGTGACGCAGTTCTCGTGTCCAATGCGTGAGCTGGGCTCTGCTGACGTCAGTTTGGCGCCGGTGACGCGCTTTTGGAACCGCGGATGTATCATAGTGAAGAGGCGGAGAGCTTTCGAAGGCAAGAAGGTACAAAATAGTCCGCTATATTTTCAAATGTTCGTACCGAAAAGCTGGCTGTTGACTTTCTAGCCTCTTTCTTGTGGCCAACTAAACGATATGCGATTAGTAAAGTCCCAATTTAAAATCATTCATCCCAACCCAAAATTCGTTTCATGGCACCTTTAAGTAGTCATCCCCCGGTTGTCACACAAAGCCGCTGTGGTTGCCAGACTTCCACTGTCTCAGTATAAACGGCTCTGCACAGGGCTTTAAAGGGATACTGAACCAAAGAATTTAGTGCCCGTAATAAGTGGCGCACGTTCTTTCCACCAGCCAGCAGCCGCCGGTGTGCGCGAGCACACGCAACAAAAATGACGTCACAGACCTCCATTCGCGGTTAAGAGGACAATGAAATGCATGGGCTTCGGACTAAAGGAGAATAAAGACAGGCTTTTCATCTCTACAAGTGAAAGCTACGTGCTTGTTAGACCAATTCATCGCTTACGTTTTACACCAGGCACCACTGTGTAGATGAAAAACTTGTCTTTATTCTCCTTTGGTCCAAAGCCCATACATTTCACTGTCATCTCAACCACGAATGGAGGTCTGTGACGTCATTTTTGTTGCCTGTGCTCGCGCACACCGGCGGCTGCTGGCTCGTGGAAAGAACGTGCGCCACTTATTATGGACACCAAATTCCTTGGTTCAGTATCCCTTTAGGGATGCATATAGGGAGTATTCACTGGACGCCATATTTGTGGGTGCTGTTTAGAGCTCATGCTCAGAACGAGCTCACATCAATAGGCTGCTAAGACCGGCACTCTGGATGGTGCGGAATGCACGTTGCAAAAGAACTGTCGAAGCTCGCCATCAGCACGCGCTCAGCATTCGCGAACACAGCTATGGCCGCCAGTGAATACTCCCTATTGGCGACGAAATGCGTCGGTGGCGCCCTCTTATGATTCCCATGTTTGACGTCACGGCCAATATTATTGGACGCAAATGACTTCGATGGCGCGTGAAAAGCACGGTGGAAGCCTAGTCATCGCGTTTTAAAACTAACACCGTCAGAATTGAGAGTCTGACTTTGATCTGATTCCCGTCGATGAGAGCAGGAATAATGTTACTCAAAACGTCATAGTGGGCGTTCGGCCAATCGTGGAAGGCCGATCACAGCGACGCTCTTGGTCGCGCACGGCCCAAATAAAGGCGGTAGTTTGGGCCTCAGACTGTGTCGACATGTCATAATGTTTTTTTGTTTCTTTTTAAATCCAGAAAGCCTTTATTATTCTCATTTCTCATTTGCAGAACATTTTAAGTGCCATGGTGTCTCGACCATCGAAAAGAAGAACGGCGAGTTGCAACATCTGTAAATACTCCTTTCAGCAATCTTCAAAGACGAGGGGAAAACATATTACTGCTGAAAACGGGAGTGTAATAATAATAAACATATTCAGCATACTTGTAAAACACCATTTTGTTGAACATAATTTTAATCAATACTCAAGTTTGTCATTTTCCTTCAATTCTATTTATACACACACACGCACAAACCTCAGACAAAAAAGAGAGGAATCTCTTCAAACGTGATATTTTTTCACACTTTGATTTCCAGGCACGTCCTTTCTTTTCAGCCTAATCCAGTGCTGTTGCCCGGTCTCTTGGCCACCGATTTCTGAACTGAATGCGTTACCTAAAGGATGCCGATAACAGAGTTCTGCAATGGTGTCTCCAACACTACTTTGACGATTGTCAGCTACGTTTGTTCTTAGGACGCTTGCAGCTCCTGCTGACGTCGGACTTAACTTTGTGTTCGTGCTTGGTACATTTCGTACCATCACTTGAACTGGACACTTGGGTTGACTCCTCATCGGAGGAGGAACAAGAAGTTTCGGGGCTGGGAGACGGACATTTCCTTTTCTTCACTGCTCTCCTTTTGGATTTGGGTGAGTGGCGGCTTCGTGCGCTCTGTTTCTTAGCAGTTGAAGATTTTGATCCCAGCGCCTTGGTTCCAACCTTCTTAACCTTCTTCTTGAATGTACGCTTTTTTGCCTCTTTGGTAGAAATATTTGTACTCCCAGAAGAAGTAGACGTTGTGTCTTCTGACACTGAACTCGGCTGCTTTCTGGCTGCCCTGCACAAACGAACGAAAACAAAACAGACTGATGACATTTAGATTTTTTTTGCCAAGCTCAAAATTATTCAATAAAGGATTGATTTGTTCCTTGTGTCATAAATAGCGCTGAGACACATTTGCATTAACAGACAATTGTAGTTTATATTGACCGTCCATGATGTGAGTTGTATCAACTGTGACGTATCTTTTAATTCGTTCGGACTGATTATTTTTTCAAGCGGTCAATCGATGAATTTAGATATTGGGTAAGCTTACTTAATTAACATAAACAAAATGTTCAACCGTTTGACTTCAATCTTTATGTAAACAATGAATAAAATGCTACTTTTAGAAGCTTTTCTGTAACTTATACTTTCGTAACAAACACACATCTATAGCACTGAAAAACATAAAACTGCCAAAAATTATTATTACGTTTTTTTAAAAATTTTTTGTGATATTTTGTTGGTACCTATTGTGTATCGTACTTGTTGCTCCAAGTGAATGAATGGTAAGAGACGATCCTGAAGATGTGAGGACTCATACCGTATCCTCAGCTATGAACAAAATTTATGGTGAATATATTTCTAGATTACGCACTCACACATCCCTCAATTCAGAATGTCAAACGCATGTAACTCAGCACAAGACTGTGCAGCGTTAAAACTGTACAAGTAACTTGACGAGTTCTAGACTAATCATTTACAAAAAAAGGCAACCGCAGCGACGCTTTCAGAGACACGCGTTGTCACACTGTAACGTCCCTTATGTGTCTCCACTTTCTAAATGTTTAAAAAAAGCACCAACACGCTCAAATAGTGTAAGTTGGAATATAAGTTGACCAATTAAGCTATAAATGTATAAAGAAAACGGCTTCAGTCAATGTGTATATGTATCCCACTTGGACAACCAAGACTTACCGCCGTTGCCTTTTCCTAGCACCAGCCTTTGATTTTGGTTTCCTTAGTACTTTCTTCAGCTTATTCTTATTTTTAACACTGACAGATTGTTCGTTGCTTCGTGCTTCTATTTCTTCGGATGACTGACATTCAGACATACTTTCTGAGTGGGATGTTTCCAGCGGCTCAACGTCTTTCGCTTTCTTAACGGATCTTGCCGGTTTCTGTGATGCAGGCCGGGGCTTCAAGTTAGCGCTCTTCTTGACCTTCTTCTTGGGTCTAGCGTTTTTGGCAACGATGTCTTTTTTTCTTTCTGAAGACGCTGTACCTTCGGTCGACCTATCCCGTGGCGTTGATCTCTCAAATTTCACTCGCTTAACACTTTGTGCCTCTTTTGAACGGGAGTTATCCGGGGAACTAGATATTGGTTTACGAGTTTTTCCTGTTGTGGATGACGTGGGTTTTAGCGAAGCATCTAGCAATCCGAGTCCTGGTTGATCTTGCTCAGACCTTGATTCTTTTTTGATATTTGACGATGGCTTCAACGAGGACAACTGAGCAACCTGTTCCTGGCAGTTGGTAATGGACCCTGTCGAAGAAATCGACGGGAAATGTTTAGATTCATCGCCTGTCTTTTGTTTTCTTTCTGGGCGGCTTTCATGACAGACACGAGCCTCAGTTTTTGTATTGTCGACAGTAGTAAGCTTTTTCTCGCATGAGACGTCCTGTGCCACCTCTGCGGAACATTTTTTGTCACAGTAATCTGTTTGACGCTGTGCGTGCTTCGACGTTTGTTTGATCGTCGCCCGAGCGTTTGCTGTTTTCTTAATTTGGCCCACGTTTTTGGTGCCTTCTGTCAAGACGTGAGGTCTATAAATGACGTTGCCAACTGGTTCGCTCTTGACTTTGGACGGCAGAGGACTCTGACTGGAGACTGGAGGCTCGCTGTTTAGACCTTTCTGATTCTCTACATGAGTGACCGAGCAACTGTCAGGCAGTCCTCTTAAAGTGTTCTTTTCCACCTTGACACTTCCTGACAAAGTACATTGCTCGCCGTTGCCCACTTGGTTTAGTACCGACTTCTGCCTTGAAAGGGTGATCTGATTTTTTTCCAGACGTGTGGTTTCGAATAAAGAGACGTCTTTAGTTGGTGCGGCCTTCGCGCTTTGTTTTGTCGTTACTGGAACATTCGATGCACTTTTCGAATGTGGCCTGCTACACATGTTTGCGTCATTTTCTTTTATGTTGAAGGTACCGACTTTTGCTTTACGAAGCAATTTTGGCTTCTTCACTTGCGCAGCATTCGCAGCTGCGGTAGCGTGACAACCTGAGCTTGGAATCTTATTTTCGGCTTTTTCGTGGTTCACGTGAAAATTTGGATCTCTTTTGAACGTCGAGTTTGGGTTTACGATCGCATCGTGCTCGTTTGTTATACATACTTCGTCCCTGGCGCTTTGAAATAGCCTTGACTTCTCTGTTGGTGAGATAGTATTATTTATCCCTGGGTCACAACCTTCATTTGTAGGCTCTTGATTATGTTCTTGCTTCACATTAGCTTTCAGACTCGAGCACTGGGGTTTGAGCACAATTCCTAATCTCAACCTGGTATCGTCTTTTGTCGTGATACGCGGTTCCCCTTTGGAGTTCTGCACTGGTGTGGAGCCTTTCACGGGCACGGCATCCTCAATAATCCCGCAGCAACGACCTCTGCTCGGAGAATTTTGTTTTATTTCTTCGTTCTTCACATTGAGTTTTGTCGTCATTATAACAATTCTAGGACATTTGGAAGGCCGATCGAATTTGGCTTGAACGCTAAGACTTCCATCTTTCGCTAAAGTAGACTTTACGCTTCTAGTGCTCTGAATCTTTGACTTTTCCACGGCCACTACGTCGAGTCTCCCTGATAGACAACTATCGTCGCTCAGTGGTTGTCGCTGGGTTTCCTCCTGTTTCACAGTAGGTTTTGATTTGTCTTCTGCAACCACCAACCCCCTACACTGAAGATTGAGCTCTGGATTAGTCTTTGAGTCATTTCCCAGACTTTGTTTAGTGTTGCTTATAAGAGTTGGCTCTTCGCGCAGAGCTATCCAAGTCCCCAGGAAAGTGGGACGTGCCTCATTCCCCGATTTGCTTTTATAGGGACTCGTTCCTCTTGGGTTATCCGTAGGCTTTATGGTGTCGCCAGTTTCGCTGCTCCTGGACCGCGACCTACTTCTGCTTCTGGAACTACGCCGCCTTCGCGGCGTATACTCTCTCGAGTCGGAAGTGCTCCAGGACCGACTCGAAGTGCTTCTGCGTCGTCGGCGCGAATGGTCGTCCCTAGACTTGCTCCTGGACCTGCCCCGACGCCTTTCATAGGACCCACTGCGAGATCTACTTCGACGTCGACTGCTGTGCCGGCTTCTAGACCTCGACCAGGACCTCGACGACCTCCTGGAACTTATTGTCGACCGAGACGACGAGAACCGTGACCTTGACGACGAGGAACTCGATGACCAACTTCGGGAACTGTGTCTCGATCTTGTCCGAGAGCGACGTCTTGGAGAGTAGCTCCGAGCTCTCGTTGAGGCCAAGTCGAGGTTCGAAGTAGGCCGGTTCTGTTGCTGACTGAAGTCTATTTTGGCCCATTCTACGGGCAGTTGGGCTTTCTCGAGGCTTGCGGCTAGTCCCGCGATCTTGCGTCTCATCTCAAGAAGGGCGTTGTGAAGACGACCACTTGAGTGGTTCGCCACCCGCTGTTCGTTGTCATCCAGGCCGATGCAGAGGAGGCACTCGTCGCAGATGATCTGCTTCTGTTCTTTCGCAGGTTCGCTGCTCTTGCGGAATAGGTACCTACAAGAAAAGAAAGAAGGAAGCTGGGGAAATAATAATTTCACTATACTTCTGTGCCGTCACAGGGAGGCTTCGTGAATAATACAAAGCGGATACAAAAAAGAAAATGCGACAAACGTTAAGAGAAATTTGTGCTTGACACTAAATTAAGAAACATTTGTTAGATGATTCCGGTCCGCACCAGCTTACTCAATAGGCTAGTCCAGTGCTGTCGACTTTTCTGCCTTTCTGCTTATTTTGTTCCTGCATCGATCCGAAACACTGCTCTGGCACACGCGCTCTTCTCAGAGTAGGTTGATATCCATGTAACAAGAACTACAAAGAAATAACTTCCTGTTTTTTTTTTGTTTTTTTTTTTCTGGTGCGTTATGCGTGTGAAGGTTGTCAGTATTAGAACTTGTAACATATTTTTCTTTCTCGTAGTAATATCATACCGAGCCGCGATAGTCATTCTTTATGCACAAAAATGTGCCACAAAAAAGTGATCAATTACTTCGGTCCATTAAATGAACCAAGACATGTCTTGTATCTCATGTCTCTTTGGTGCCTACAGATAAGTCTACACACGGGGGCAACTTTCTGCGGCAATGCATTCAAAGGCACGAGAGTGGGTGCTGCGCCTATTAAAGCTAGACACCTGCCCTCCTCTCTTCGCAAATGCCACACAAAGCTGACCCCTATAGTCGGAGACAGGCCAAGAACGAAGTGGAAGCTCGTCTCACCTCTTTCCACTTTGGTAGAGCGAACGCTGGAGAGAAGGCGACCTCCTCTCTACCGATTGCTCCGCTGAAGTGGAAAGGGGTGGGAGGAGCTTCCACTTCGTTCTTGACCTATCACCGACTATAGTGTAGTGCTGCCCAAACTATTTATGCAAGAGACAAACCCGGAAAGGAGAAAAAAAAAGTATATCCCAAGGCATCGTATGTATACTTACAGATACGTACAACGGGTAATGGTTAAAGTCATAGTTCAATTACTTACCAACCAATCATATAGTTTTCTCGGCCAAAACCTGAGGTTATTTCAATGAGTTCACGACGTATCAACGTAAAATAACACGTTGGCCGACCCGTTTTACGCAAACACAGTCTGGAGTACTTACCAGTCTTCGTGCGCAAGCCCTATTCACAACAAGACGAAGACGTTGCTCACTATAAAAAATCCCGAACTCACCTAGATGGAATAGTTTTTGTCGTTAAATAAACCAGAAAATACAATTTTGACGGGTTGCATATTAAATCAGTATTCAAAGTGACATCTACGCAGGTAGGTGGTGCGATTTACTACATGTATATATGTTATTTATTTTTGTGTTTTGTTTTTATTCTTGTTTTACGTAGAAGTCTTGGATACTGATTACTCCTCACTCAGCCGTTGGGCCCACTCCTCGAATTCACAAAGCCACAATCTCCTACATTCGTTCATTCCTTGCATTCTTCACTGCACGTATAGCATTTAAGAAGAAAAAAACAACAACTATGTTCTGTCTTACATAAAATTCACTCTTACCTTGACTATTTTCGCAGCTTGGCGATTTGTTTCTGATTGTTCTGATTGTTCTGATTGGGTGATGCTCTGTTCTCATAGATTGCGCACTGCTAAATCGAGTTGTACACTCCCGGCTGTCTAGGCGCTGCAAGGTATTGTATAATTTTTGCAATTTTTATTTTACTGCTTTTTACTTTGTTAAAATTGAGAAAACATTCACACTAGAGTTTATACTGTGACTCAATTATGCGTATTTTACTCGAGACATTTTAAGGAACAATTGCCCGACTATATACTGACGGCGGTGCGGTTGGTCTGAGTGGCTACGACTAACCGAACTTGCATTTTGTTGTGTGTTACGACTAAGAAGGAGCTGTTCAATGGCGCATATCGACTTTATTCACGAAGTTTATCAACTATTGCAAAGGCAATCAAACAGTCACGACTCTTGTGGTTTACTTCAGCTGTGGAAAAAAAAAAAAAACTAATAAGGTTTGAAGGCCCATGGGGTGTAAAAAATTGAGTTACTAACAAGCCCTCGAGCTACAGAAGCGATGCTCAGGGCAACGTGCTTGTCCCGACGCCCTTCAATAATAAAGTCTTTTTTTTTTTTCTTTCTTTTTTTACAAGCGTCGACAACAATTACGTTTGTCGAAGCAAGAACGGAGCTTTGTGGGAAAAGAACGTGAACAAAGTGCTTCCTATAGTTCAGTTTCCTTGCCAGTAGTTGTGGCTGTGGTTGTCAAAATGAAATACATCTAAGCTATAGATAAAAAAATACCGCACTGATGCCGATTCGAGAAAATATTAACGCGATATGCCCCGAGGAGCTTTAGTTCTGACGGTCTGTTTCTTGCCTGGCCGTTGAAAAATTCAACAGAGGCTGAACTTGCTGTGAGTAAATATGTGCAACTACGACATCTATGTACCCAATTAGAGTTATATTTCATTTTGAAGTGAAAAAGTGGTAACGGTATCTGTATACAAGTTATGTGCGAAATGGGGGAGTATGCCATCCCACCGCTGAAACTTTTTGGATGTTAAGTCTCTGGAAAACGATCGCTGATCCTCGCGGCCTCCTGTTGGGAAGGCATTTTCTTAGAAAAGGTGGTTGCTCCTCGGACAACACAGATGGTCCTGTGGAGCTACAAAGGACATCCGTGGGATATTGAGACTTCATAGGGACATCCGTCGGATCACGTGTGTGTTTGGGAACCCTGACTGGCAAGAGTACATCAAATGCCGTCTGCAAAGGAGTAAGCAAGGCTCGCGTTGTATCGAGACCCAATCACTCACTTTTCAATACGGTTCCGCTTTCGCTTGAGCTTCTCCACCTCGCGAATAAGAGCCAGGGCCTCGTCAACTTTGCCCTGAGAGCCCAGTTCTTCTGCCTGGACGAGTTTCTTGTCCACCGTCTCTCCGTACGTCTTGAGCTCCTTGGCCTTTTCCGCCGCGCTGCCGTTCCAGGAGCTCGACTGACAGCGGGTCAGCCTGCCCTTCTTAGCCCTGTCAAGTATTTCGCAAGAACGGACCACCTGGAACCAGCGTCGGGGCAAGCAGTGTTAGTGTAGGTAGAAACAAAATTCTTTGCGTCCTGTAGTTGCATTTAATTCGTGTTAAAGTACTGTGCACTCCATATTGTTTATTGTTCCGTTTATTACAATCCCTAACTGTTCTTAGAGTTAATGTCCTCAGTAGAAGACGAAAAGCTTTTGGCCTTAGCAGATTGTTTCGATGGAGCGCATTCTTTTCATACTGATGAAGTAAATTCAGCGTAATATTTGACTTCTAAGCACATTTCTCAAACTGTATCTGCGGCCAAAACCATATTGATAGAAGCGCTAATGCGCAGAAGCGCCATCGCTATGAACGATTCCTTTTGTGCTGACACATTGGTGAAACCTCCAAGCGGTTCTAAAAGCCCCTTTCACCCCACGAACGACACTGCGGGACCGTCACCGCTCATGGTGTTCACACCGCGGTAATATTTTGCACGGTTCCTCTCATTACCCTAACGTACGTGACAGCCTAAAGGCCTGTTCTCACATGCAGCGAAGCGCTGATGTAGTGATGCTCACGTACCGTCAGCTACTTATCGTCTGCCTTGAGCAAAACAGTTTTGACGGTGCGATACAAAGCTGGTGAACGCTCCCGTCAGCACGCGCTTAGCGCGATCTGCTTGTAGCGCTGTGCTTCATGTTGAAGCCTTAATGTGGTCGTGTGCAGCGCTTGGAAGATTATTCAGGCATGAATGGCACGTGGCTTCGGAGCGCGCTTTCCTTGCATGAGCACCCTGCAAATAAAGCCCTTTGCTGAGCCCCGTTCTCGTGTCCGGACCCTTAGAACAAGTGCGTGAAAATTAATTAGGACAAAATGTATACTTAAAAAAAAATTGTCTTGAAAGGTTTTTTTGATGACCCAAGAAGTCTTTCAGCTCGTAAAGAAGAGTTTCGCCTTTAACGCTATCGCCCCCTGGCGCACTAGAAAGGCAACTGGGCGATGAAGAACTATTTCGCAGTACAAAAGGAGCTTAAAAGGACCCTTTATAGGCTTTTTTTACAGAGAATCCTTTTAAAGGGTCTTATATCAACGTTTAGGGTGCAAAATATGGACAAGCCGAAGAATCCCTAGAAGTTCTTTTACTACCAGGCTTTTTTTAGAGTGTATACATTCGAAGCAGATGCACATGATCAACGTCAGCTGCGATTAAAATTGTCTTTGGTATACGAGCCACGGTAGGATGCCATATCTTGTGACGCAGCATTTGGTCTCCCGTACGGTCATGCTCGAAAACGCGCGTCGCCAGCGGCTTCAACGCCGTTCATTCCGCACCACCGAGCGTGTAGTTCCTTATAGAGAATAAGTAACAGCGACGCAAGTAGGCCATGTCGAATCTACGTCTTGTGTGAATGTATACCTTACGCGCTTCGATATCAACTTAGGGCGCTATGAATAGTCACGTGGTCTGGGACATGTGCTTTTGGTTCTATTGTTTTATTTGACCCATACAGCGATTCAAACATGCCGCTGGAGTGAGACATAGATAGATCATAGATGTTCACACTAAGTCTAGAATGCCTAATGGAAGTCCAAAACCGGGAGCTAGAAGCTTTGTGTGCCTATCTGGTTGCATTGGAAACCGAGCTGGTGACAGTCCTATGACAGTCCCACGCGGTCTAATCTCCAGCTAAAGCCTCGTGCCTGTAACAAAAAAAAAAAAAAAAGTTTTGCTTTTCAACTTGGCGCGTCTCACAAACAAATCTAAAGCACGATATTGGAAGAAGCGGATAGAATTACCAAACAGGAGAAGCCGCGGGCATTCCATGCCTTCATGCCTTCCGAGCGCTCTTTCTGCTCTGTTTGCAACGACCTTGATCCTGCATCGTCTGTTACTGTTGCCAACTGCAACCTATCCCGAACCTCGTGCCATCTAAAGGGTACATTCTAAAAAAGCAAATTGCCACGATCGAAAACGGCGAACGGAAATATTCACGCCCACAGAAATTAGGAACCGAACCTTCTCATTACCTCATGTGCCGAAAAATTCAACTGGCCTTGTTTAGACATGTACACTAGAGGTCGAACAAAAGCCTAAAAAATTTTATTTTTAAACTGGCAACAAATTTTTAAATGGGTTTTGATGAAAAAGAAACCTTTGTCACAGGTTTTAGAAATAAAATGGGAAATTTATAGGTAGTATGCAGTATTTAATAAGCACTACCCGCTTACAAACACTTAAATGGGTTAAAAAATTGTTTTACTTAGTTTTTAGAGATAAAAATGGTAAATTTAAATAGGACGTACTAAGCACAAGCTGCCATAGATGAACTGAATGAAAGAAGAAAAACTGCGGTAAAGGGTCTGCTTGCGGTAGGTAAGTCGCCAGTATGGCGGGCCAAACAAACCAGTCCAAGCTATCTATAGCCAGATTTTATTTTACACCTGCCACGCAAAGCCTAATACTGCAAGATGTACCGGATGCGCCATGTAAATTTGGGTCCACGATGTCTGCTAAATTACATTTGCGTGTCATGTTAATTCGCAAATTTGTTGTTGGAGGTCACTGCGGTAAAAAGTTTACAATTTCTTGTGCACAATGTATTTGATGGTACGAAACAAACAACTTTGAACGCTGGCTTTCTGAACACGACAAACCACTCATAACAACAAACTGGTGGACCAACGTGCGCCACTGAAAATCCCAACCACCCAATAGGAAACATTACACCTATTATTTTTTTATTATAATGCAATTAAATGCAAAGGTGCAAGCGAGCTGGACAAGAATCACGAAAATAATCCCTGGAAAAGGGGAACAAGAGGGACAAATAACCCCTGGAGACTTGCGTTTTTCCTTTGTCCCTCTTGTTCCCCTTCTCCAGGGATTATTTTCGTGACCTATTATTTACCTATACTTTAAGATAAAAGACATCCTGTACCTTTTGGAGATAGGTGAGCACCGTCAACTGATAGAAGCGATGTTGGCTGGAGCGGTACGTCGTCGAACTGTTTTCAAAGTCGGCCTTGAGCGCGTAGTTGTGTATCTTCAGACAGGCACCCAAAGACATCTTGGTGCCTGCCAGAGCATCGTGAGGACACAGTCCCAGGAGGAAACAGCGACACACCTTGGGGTCCGAGTAGTGAATCGGGTTCTTGGTGCCATCTCGACCAGTGCCCATCAGCTCGTCGAGCTTCTGGCGCATCTGGTCTCGGGCCGACATGTCCTCCGGTACCCGGCGAGAGCTGCAGGTCTTCTAAAAGTGAAATTGTGGAACGGGCAAGACAGCTGCCCTCTTCTTTTCTTCGGGTCTGCCGCACGTACGCACGTGCCACCGTGAATCGACGTGCATTGCCGTGGTTCCACGATAGGCCAATCGCACTGCTCGTGCTGCTGAACCCAGGCAGGTACCCAGGGTTCAGTGACTCTAAATAAGTTACGCCTGTACGATGCTCATCCAGATCGAAACGGGCAGAGGTGGGGATTGATCCCAGGATCCCTAGGTTAACACCGAAACTAATGCTGAGGAAGTCGCACTTTTGTATGATAACGAACGGCAGTTGCGTGTGCTCTGCACAAGCACCGAGATGGCGCCGCCCACGACAATATCAGGAACAGAGTGCCGATACTTTAAGCGTAGTTCATTTAGGGGCTCTACCAGGGATCATAAGTTCGATTCACATCCCTGCTGTTGTCCATATCCGTTTCGATTTGGATGAGCATCGTACACTGGTGTGCTTTTGCGTAATCAGTACCGCGCGATGCCCGACCACAGGTTAGCAAAGTCGTGCTGCACCGGCGAACTTGCTCATCTACTCCGCAGACGACAGACATCCCAGACTAGCTTCACGCTGTCTAATTAGTCACACGGCAAATATGAATTTTGAGTCTCCGCTGGCCAGGTGTTCGTTTTTAATATCAAACACGCGTAACACACATGGGAGGACACGTAGAAAATAACTGACACAAACACAAAAAAAGAAGAAAATCGACGTGGAACTGACGTTATTAGCCACACGTAACCACGCTACAAGACCACGCCGCCTTTACGACGTAACGTGCAGGTCTCGGAATAAACACGACCTTACTTCCGTTAAAGGTTAAAGTGACGGTGCCATAATTTTGGTACTTTCACCAAATACCCCATTGAACTCATCCATGACGGCTTAATTAATAATAACTGCGTTGTGTGTATGTTTATACCACCGGAAGTTAGTCAGCGCCAATGGGCGCCTGGTGTCTCAGCTGTAGATGGGAGATTTAGCCAGAACAGTACAACAGCTATAGCCTGGGGCCCACGCAGTAGCGATGCATACGCTGCCGCACGCCGGTACGATGTTCATCCAGATCGAAACGGGCAGCGGTGGGGATAGATAGACCGATCTCACTAAAAGTTCGGCGCAGGCGTGACGCCGCCATAAATTTAGTTCACACGAGGCAGGTCGCAAAGGAGGGCTAGTGGTATCTCGAGCTCTACACGCTCAGAGCTCCAGCTAGATTGTCGCACGTGCTGAAGGACCAGAGTTCCCTCGATCCATTGCGCGGCAGTGGTGGCGTATATTCAAACGGGCTGGTGCAATATAGGGAGTATTCACTGGCGGCCATAGCAGTGTGCGCCAATTCTGAGCGCGTGCTGATGGCGAGCTTCCACAGTTCTTTTGCAACGTGCATTCCGCACCATCAAGAGTGCTGGTCTTAGCCGCCTATTGATGTGAGCTCGTTCTGAGCATGCGCATTAAACAGCACCCTTGCACAAATATGGCGTCCAGTGAATACTTCCCATAGACCTTTCTAGAAAGCGCTTCTGGCAGGTTCCATCTTTAGTGCTCGGTCGTATGGCGCGTGATTTGCTCGCTTTTTGAAGCAACGAACACGCGCGCGCTGGGTTGAGGAGATCGTACCTCTCGGTTACCGTGCTCTGGGCTGAGTGTACTATACTCTGTTTCACCTTATGATGTACCGCAGGAAAGGCCACAAGCGCGAGATCCTTGCTCTAGGGCACATTTCGGCGGCACAAGCTCTCGTGCATTAGGGGCAGCTCCCAACGCTATGAGCTCGCGCTTCTAGCCTTCTCTGCGGTACAACATAAGGTGAAACGGAGTATAGTAGTAAATATAGACTATAGACCGATCCCACTAAGCGTTCCACGCATGCGTGACGCCGCCATCACTGTAGTTCATAGGAGGCAGGCACCAGTTCACGAGGCAGCTCGCACTGCCTCGTGCTCTGCTCGCGCAGACCTCCAGCGGGGTTGTCGCGCGTGCAGAAAGACTACATCACCCACGATGCATGGCGGCAGCGGTGGCGTAATAAAACTGGCTGTGAGATCGGTCTATTGGAATGGTGTTGAACCCAGGACCCCCGGGTTCTACAGCGCGAGCTTTCCCTCCAAGTGCTCTGAGCTGCGATCTGAAATCCGAGCTCCGAGTCTGAAATCGGGCTCCGAGCTCCGATCCAAAATCGCAGGAAACGGTTTTAAATATCAACTGAGCTCCCTGACGCCGTATCCGAAGCTCAGGAAGCCGCATTCTTGAATCGAACCGATCACCGATTGCGCCCGTTCTGCACAAACTAGGCACCAAAATGGCGGCGCCTCAAGGCAATTGAGGAGCAGAGTGCCGCTACTCTGAGCGTTTGGCATATCTATAACAAAGAGTGCTAGTAGAGTAGGGAGTTTAGTAGTTTTGGTACAAAGTTTAAGTAGAGGTATAAGAGAGTCTTTAGTAGCAAACTAAAACTCTGGATATACGCAGTGTCAAGAGGCTCAGGCGGTATATCGTCCTGCTCACTGTGGTCCTGCTCTGTCAAGGACAGTTTTAACCCTTCTGGAGGACGGTATATAGAGCGTTTCCCGCCATTTCAGATAAATCTTCAGATAACTGGCAACGATGATTTTACGCACCAAGATGGCTGAAACGTCGTTACTTTGAAGCGTATTTAGTGGCTCTAGTTTCGTTCCCCACGCGTGTTCCGGATGCGGCGTGTATACGTATAACCTGGAACGCGAGTATCGACACGTCCCGCCGACCTGGAACCGACGAAAGTGCACATGCTCCTCCACTCTGCGCTTTCGACGGGAGCCAAGATGGCGCATCGGGTTTCCAGGGCACGTCCCGCACGTCGCGCTTACGTGCTTCTGCCAGAGTTTTTGTTTTTTGGTTTTGGTTTTGCTCTCTTACTTTTTCGTTTACCTTGTCGTACCTCTAATTCTTCGAAAACTAACCGCTCCGGACGGGATGTAGTCGCTCCTCGGTGAAAATAAAAAGAGGAAAAAAAAAAGACATTTCAGGTGCCACTGCCCTCTGGTGATCCACGATTTAAAGTGTGATAACAAGAACAGTGTTGCGGAATTCATGCGTGATAATAGGTGCGTCTGGTGGACATCCTGTCCTGGAGACAACGTACGACGTTTGACTCTTTCGGCAGAAAATGAAACGTTTGACTTTTATGATTCTCAACAATTTAAGAAACGCAGGGCGTGACTTCGTATACGTTTGCGCATTTTGCTTCGTTTCTTAACCTTGTTAAGTTGCGAAAATGAAAGCGCGAAAAAACTGTACAAGAAATCCGAGACGAACATCTTTCTTAAGCTGTCTCCGACTGTAGTGAGTTTTAGTATTGCGTATATACGAGCGAACGCAATCACTGTAAGTTTGCGTTATCGTTGCCTGTTCCACACTGCGCGTGCGCAAAGCCCAAACTGGGGGTCTTGGATTAGCTCGTGGCGATGACACGCATTCGCAGCTTGGAGCACGCAAAGTACAACGCAAGCGCAGAGCGGAAATTCGTCTGCTTTTTGTGCAGGGGTTGCAAACTGACGTCAGAACACCGAGCTCTGATTGGCTCTGATTGGCTCTGATTGGCTCGGCGTTCCGACGTCACCGCAATCCCTGCTCAGGAAGCAGACGAACTAGCGCTCCGCATACGCAATACTAAAACTCTCTTATAACTCACACTGACCGCTGCTTTGCCACTTGCGGAAACCGTCATAATTTATTATTTATGGTTGTGATTATGATGATGATGAAAGAGAGTAGGGGATCTCAAGGTGGGGGGGGGGGGGGGGGGGGTGTAGATTTCCCATGGCCCCAAAACGTATAGTGGACGCGCCCAAAACGACGCTTGTCGACGTTCAAGTAGACGTGGCTTGTTGCCGAGTGCCATTGTGGTTGTCTTGCCCTGCCACCTGCAACACACATTTCATTCCACCGAATTTGTTATTTTCTCGGCAAGAACAAATGAAAATGGCCACCAGAACAGTTTGGATGACGTCACATGCAAGCCATGAACAGGGCCGAAGAAGCAGTGCAGTTGTCGAATATAAGACAACTGCACTACCTTCTTAATTACCGAGACGGTGACCGAAGAAGGTCACATATAAGACAACTGCACTTTGTTAATTACCGAGAAGGTGAAATCAAAGCGGAAGTGGCGGTCTCATGATATTTTTGCAAACAGTAATAACTTTATTCTGATAGTTCGTTTCTTCATCAGTATCACAGAACACAGCAACCATTTTGTAACAAAGATATATTCCACAGGTCCATCATCTCTCCAGCCAATGAGAGCTGAGAAGCTATGCTTACAAAAGCACTCACCTTTCGCTAATGGGCGGAACCTAGATCCGGGGCACCTCCACCTGGATTGCGTCTTGCGGCGCAAATACTAGGCTAAAATAATTTTTTTCTTTTGCTTCGGGTCAGTTTTATTTTGTGATATATATCGATATTTAAAAACATTTTTAAGTTTTATTTTCTTAAAAAAAGGTAAGATGGTTTTAAAATGGAACTACTATCTAATTTAGAAAATATAGAATACATTTATCATGTTTCCGAGAGTATACGTCGCAGGTCGTCCAATCGATGCCCTCTGCACGCTGCATGCGCTATCTTCGTGTACAGGGTTGTGGAAGGCGTTCTGAGCATGCACAATTGCTCTCTTCTAAGAAATATCCGATGCTGCGGGACATCCGACCCCGCGCATGCGCACAACCTAGTGAATCAGCATTTTTCGCCCAGTCTCAGAATAGCAACAGAGAACTATTCATCGGCACGCAATCACGACGCGGGCTCCGCTTAATAAGCGCATCCTCACTTAATCGTTGCCATGCAACTTTCGAATATACCATAATATGATCTATAATCTCGGTCACCTTAAGATATGCAGGGCGTTTTGGGATCCTTCTGGTTCACGCTTCGCAGTAGCCAATGAGATCCCTGCGTTAGACCCAATCAAAGCCAATCACAACTCGGCGTTGTTCTGAGTCACTGCAAGTCCTGCGTAAGACTTGTTCTCCGCTTATAGTGACCACTGACGCAATATTCGCGAAGACTGCCGAGTTTTACGGGACGCGTACTATTCTAGCGCCCCACCAAAGTCACGTTTTTTGTTTTTTTTCCCTCTTGTACAACAGTAGTAAGCGCACAACAAACTCAATTGAGTTATGGCGGCGATTTTATCTGCGGACGAGAATGGATGGTTTCGCCCGCGGGAGTGGCAATTGAGTCGGTTCATTCTCAAGGCAAGAAGGTAAAAAGCTTCGCGGGCTCAAGGTCAGCCCGTGGTGTTTTTGACTGCGCACAATCCCCTGCATGCTGCAGTTTATGCAGTGCAGTCTCACTTCTGTATCTAAACACACCCACCTGAAAAAGAAATAAAATAAAAAAAGGTATTCGGCGATTTTTGTAACAGCTCATCGGGAACACCGACGAAGATTGACCCCAATCTTAGCCCAATTTCTTGAGCGGCGTGATCTGTTTCCTCTTTTGTTTTTCGTAGATGACGTATACTTCTTGCTTTGTTTTCTTCCACTGGGCCGATGGGAAACCAAACACGATAATCACGATTTTTTTTATAAGCATATTCCGGAGATGGTATTTGTCTGTCTTTATATTTTTTCTTTTTTTCAGTAGGTAGTCGGTCAACTGATCAGACCGACCGCCCTTTCCGCTTATATTTTTCGTCTGACGAAGAAAAAAGGGGGGCAGCGTTCTGACATCAAGACAACGAACGACGAATGGAAGGTCTTTAGGGTCAACACAACTCCACCAAGGACCAGTTTCAGCGAGGTTAGTAAAGAACAAAAAGAATAAAACGAGACGACGGAATCTGCTTCAACACCGTTCACCCCTTAAGGGGAGACGTGGGTCGAAAAGTCGCAATTTCCTGAAAAAATTTCACTTTTTCTTTTTTGTTGCATTGCCGACCTTGGACTATAACCTTTCATTTCTGAAAATATCAAGCTGCAAATCGCACAAGAAATATCTAAATATGCGTCCAAGTGAGCAGTGGTGACGTGAGAGCCGGGCAAAAGTCGCGAAAATTTGTGTGGTTTGCGTCCTTCTGCCGCGAAAGTAACGCGCCACCCGCCATTTCGCATGCGGAGGCAGCCGTCTCCTCCGCTCAATAGTAAAATATGGCTGCTGTGCCAGAAAACCAAGTTCGCCTCCAGGACTATTGTGGAGACGGCCACAGAGATTGCTGTACTTTGGTACAACAAAGGCCATACAGGCTTTGAAAGAGTGCTGGAAGAGATTGGAGTACTTCCTTCTGAAGATTTGGTCATGCATGGTGACCATTGCGATCAAATGCGCATCAAGAAAATGAACGCCAAGCAAACAGTGGAAGCCAGGGCACATCGTCGCAGCACAGTGAAGAGGGCCCGGAGTGAGGAAACAACCCGCAAGGGCCAGGAGGGACAAAGTTATTGTGCTGGAGGGTTTTAGAAACTTGTCAGTGCATTTTGCCATTGTGGCCAGATTTTATGCAAATAGAGTGGCATTTCAATGAATAGAAACTTCACAAACTTTCAAACTTGTGTTTCTCATTTTCACGTTTTTTGAAAATTTCACGTTTTCCGGGCAGCCTTTTGTGAACTTATAGTTAACCTATAGTAACGAAATTTGGTACACATGTTCCTCAAGACATGTAGAGGGCTGATATCTAATTGAAACTGAATTTTCTATCAGCATTAGTTATGGAACTTCTTATTTATTGTTTCAAGGTAGACTGAAAATAATTAGGTACAGAGCACAAACTTTTTTTGCATAGTTCTAGTATTTTTGTGCAAAGTGTGGCTAGATATCAGCACTCTGCAATCTCTGAAGGGTCAAATAAGATACAGCACGATACTTTTCTTGTAAATTTAGTATATCAAAACCTTCCCGGAAAAAGTGCTCTTTTTTGCATTGTGTATTTCATAAATCGATAACTATAGTAGCTAGGTGAAAACTAAATACATATTTGAAATCCGCATGAAAAACTATATTAAGGGCTGAATTTTTATGTCTCTAGTTAAAAAAATTTAAAAAAAGTTGTTTCGGGGAGCATATTTCGGGGAGCGCCAACACTGCGGTGGAAGCTACGAGCCCGTTTGAACCAATCTTACGCCTTGTATATCTTTCGCCACGGGATCACGCCACTCCCTCTCATACGTACACATAGGGACAACGCGGCCTAGAATAAAACTGAACAGTTTCCTTTACCTCCACGTATGACGTCATCACACCCGAGTCAGCAATTGGATCCGAGTCCGAAGCCGAGCGCCCTTCGACGCGTTGATTGGACACGAGCTCCTCCCGAACGCTGACTGAGCAGTCGTGTCCAATCTGGCTGTGATGACGTCAAAACGCCGGTTTAAATCTGGAGGTTTTTACGTGCCAAAGCAACGAAGGGCATCTGGCACGTCCCAGCGGAGGACCGAAAACTACTTTCGAACACCTGGGGATCTCCTAATGAGCAACTTGAAGGAATTCGATAGAAGCACAAGTTCGTCTGCTGCTTGCACAGGGGTTGTGATGATTTCGGACCTTAAAAAGGTAGGGCGAGGATAAGACGGGCCGGGGAGGAGGAAGCCGACAGAACGCTGGAGAAGAGAGGGGGAAACCTCCTCACTGTAGCGTTCGGTCTGCTTCCTCCTCCGCAACTCGTCTTACCCTCGCCCTACTTTATTGACTTGCAACGGACTATAAACTTCAAGGCTTCTATAGCACTGATGTCTACCCACTATCCTTTCAATCAAAGCCAATCAGAGCTCTGCGTCGCCCTGACGTCACCGAAATTCCTGCGCAAGAAGCAAACGGCTAGCTCTCCGCGGATTGCTGGCACCTCGGCTGGGATTCGAACCCACAACCTGGGGATCCCGGCGCCTTGACTCACGGAAACACCAAGGCGGCAAAACGCTAGTGTAGGGGCTTTGATTACTTAGTTGGTGTTGGCGGAGAGCTGGGTCAGGTTACGAAAGGGAGGCGGCTGACTTGTCCGGCGAACGCGTAGCTCCCACCGCATTGTCACGCTTAGGGCTGAACGGAATATATATTCTACGAACCGCACCCCAATCTCGTCAAGAGCTGCTACACACTTTCTCGATGAAGCCCCTCCCTCCGAAGCGCGGTACACCAGGCAATTACGCGGACGTCCTCGTAAGACTACCTAATGACCGAACTTGCGTACGAGCAGTTGCTTAACGTCGCAATAGTTTGGAGTTTCTTTTTCCTGATTTTATTGTCATTTTTTATCGCTTATTATTTTAATACTTTTTGACGGATCTTTCCTGATTGCTTCGAGACGAGCAGAACCCCGTGGAGGTATATTGGAGACGTGCCAAGATCTCTCTCGCAAATGAGTGTTAAAGTTCACAACTTCTTGCCCACGCGGAGAGAGGGCGCCACGTAAATTAAGCTCGATAAACTCGACACTAATCGCAGGTGATGATGTTTAAGAGTAATGAATATATAAATATATATGTGAAATGTTGGCAGCTTGGGATATTTGGCATATGCCCGAGACTAGTGTTTGTTTGTTGTGCGTCTTTTATAAAGGAATTGGACCATTTGTTTACTTTCGTCGGGGTGAGTGTGTCGCAGAAGGATTCTGATATTTCTTTAGAAGGTGGCAAACAAGACGTTAGCAAGTTAATTTTTTTTTTATTATTATATAGTAACTCTGAACTCGACCAACGCCGAGTTCAGACAATTAGTTCTTTTTTTTTTATGTTTGGTTTCTCATTGTTTTTGTCAAATGACATGCTGTGACCCCATTGGTAGCGCTTAGAAAATTGGCATTTTTTAATTACTAAATAGTAATTTCGCGATTTCTTCCTGATTGTTTTTGTTGTGTCCTGCCGCAGCCTCAATGGCTGCGCAGCGTGAGCTGGGGTTAAAGCCCATCTCACTTTTACTATACTTATGATGGATGTGACTATATCATAATGTAAAATTTTTTTTTTTTGTGAGTCAGTGGGGTTACAAGGAAAGGGGGGATGCAAATTTTCCCCGGGTGCAGCACTCAGGAGGATGTTGCGGATGGCCACGAGAGCCGGGGGGGGGGGGGGGGGGGGGGGGTCGTCGCAGAGTGCTACCGCCCCGGGTGCCACTGACCTGCCACTGACCCTAGTGACGCCACTGTTGTGAGTCGAGAGACCCTGGATATCACCTGGCAAGCGTTCGGTCGCACAGAAAATCACAATAATATGAACATGACTAAAAAAACAAAAACAAAGATATTTATTTGTACATTTAAGTACAGGTCGCATAGAAGGCGTTTCCGCCCGTACACATATGTGCCTATGTGGTAAACACAAATAACGTAAACACAAATAAGTAATTTAAGAAAGAATCGATAGTTCATGCTCTATTTTTTATATAATGCTAGAACATTGCAGGTAACTAAAGCGAATAAAAATCAAATTTGTTCGTTTGGACAGTTTACAGTTTGTCTAGAGTTGGTCGTGGTCTGCAAATGACTTCCTTTTCCTCAGTGTCTCCCCAAAGACGGGGCTATCCAATCAGTGCAAGCAATACAAGCATTAACCAGGGACATTGACGTGCCCCGCGCACGCAGTAGTTATTACAGGACAAAATGCCGCTACGATACTCATCCAAAACGAAACGGAAAGCGGACAAGTACATGAAACCTCAAACGAAACTACGCGCGGCCTCGACGATCGCTGGGCGCCATGTTCCCCTACCGGCTTTTATCCAGTTGTCTCTGCTCTGCAACCGGAGGGCTCTCTTCAGCAAGCGCCATCTATCGCGAGCTAGCGCAAACCTTCTCACGCCGGTTCCTCGGTCACGTGCGCCGTCCCGCGAACGCCGCGAACACGGGGAGTGTGGAAGCGGTCGACAGATGTTCCTAGTCCGTTGTCGCGTCGAGTGCCGGCGAGTAGTCGACACCGAGATTTATCTACCGGCGTACTCGTGTAGCCAAACCTTTCTCGCTCCTCCAAAAGCTCGGACTCCTGCTACTGAGCGCGTCTCCGTACACAATCACCACCACGTCGCCGGGCTCAACGTGCTTCAACGTTCTCGGGATCGCTTCTAAAACCGGATACAAGCACCCGACACTGACACGACTGATCTGCGTCTACGGAGAACAGCCTGATCAACCAGCCCCGTGTACTGAGGAAGGGAAAGAAAGAAAGAAGTACCAGAACAAGAAGCTCCCAAAAGGACGTAATCTGTCGTCGCGTGGACTCGGTGAGTCGGAGCGCTTTTTACTGTTGATCTCAATCTCTTCTCTTTCAATGTTCCCTCGAGTTTTTTGTGTTGACATTATCTCAACTCGCCGGTCGACTGGGAAGCGATGGTTTGATTTATTTAGCCGGGGACGCTTTCCAACCGGTTAGACAAGCTGGGTAATTCGTGCTCAAGAAAAAAAAAAAAACATTTTGCAATTTGCAGCGCGCGTTTCGTTTCATCGTTTCATCTTGGCGAACCGTTTTGTAGTCACTGTTTTAAAACGTTGTTGTGACACATTGCTCTTTCGTGTGTTTGTTCCGGGAGAGAGTACGAGCGGTGGCAAATAGTGGCAAAAGCGCTTTCCTCTTATCAGCGACCGTGCGGTAAACAGGCTGATAAAGGAGGCTGTCTCGGGATTTTGCCGCTCTTCAGCGAGCGATCTGTCTGTTGGGGGGCTGCTCGCATTTCGGACCATTTGGCGCTCTCACGCGGGATAATGGACTTTGAGTGTCTTCTTTTTTTCCTCCTCTTCTTTTGTTTCTTTGTTAAGATCGTTTGAGTTTGTTGGTAGTGAGAAAGGAAGAATATGAAAGGAGAGGGGTTTAACTGTTCCTCCTTGAGTGTCAATAAAGGGTGCTCTGGGTTGTGGAATGCATGCCGTTTTGGTGTTTCGTGTTTATATATTTTTTTTTATATCTTTACCCCTTTCCTTTGTTTTCTTTTTGTTGCCCCTCAGCTTTTTGAGTTAAGAGGCCGTTATCTGGAGTGTCAGAGTTCGCTTCGCGCGCCTTTTTTGCACCCCCAGACCGAGAATGTGCAAATTGGTTTTACAGAATGTCAATACTTGGGATGATTTTTGCTCTGTTTTTATTCGATGTATGTTTAACGTGGATACTTCTATTCAATGGTTGTGCAGACTTCGGATGGCACGCTTTATCATCACAATGCTGGAATAATAATACTGATAACAAGAAGGAACGGGTCAATATCAAAATAATTAGATACTAATAATAATAATTCACACTACTACTACTACTTATACTGATAATAATAATAGCACAACAACGCGGACATCACATGAAACAAGCGACGCCTACCCACATATTCATTAAATTATTATGAAATGTCAACTTTGTGCTGTAAAAACAAGATTATGAAAATAATTTAATGATGCCGATCATGCGCAGTGAAGTTCACGCTGGTATGCTTTCTATGCGCGTTTTAAAATGTGTAATGTCCCATTGGGTTAAACGCAATTTAAATTTTATACCCTGTTGTTTTTGCCGCTTCCGTTTCAACACGTGCTTGTGTCTCTCACCGTGATTTTCCCTCGTATACGGGCCTTGTATTGTTCGTTCTGCTATTTTCGCATTTTATCCTGGTATCTTTCTTTGTTCCTTGTCCGGCGTAATTAGTATGCCAAGTGCGTCTCGCGTATTAGGCTACTTAATGACACATTACGTTGTAACGCATGACACCGCCGCTGGCGGATGATGGAGGTTTTGAATGTTATATTCATTCTTTTCTCCACTACCTTGTTTCCTTTATCTCGTTTGGTTGCCTGTTTCGTTATCAGAATTGCGTTAGTTCTGCCATTTGCCCCACACTTGCCAGACAGAATTTGTCAATGCATATACCCCCCCCCCCCCCTTTTTTTTTTTTGCTCTTCTTTTTCCCTGCTGTTTGTTCATCTTAGCTTTTGCTGCCGTTAGGCCATTGTTTTCGGGCCTTACCTTAGTTTTCCCAGTGCTTCCCTTTTTCTTTTTTTGTTCTTTTTGTCCTCGTGCGACGAAAGCTACACGACTCTCCTAAAAGGAGCCATGGGCGGACTTGGAAAGAGGGGAAGGGGGGGGGGCTGCGTCTCCCCCCCGCCCCCCCTTCCTTAAGGTCAACATTTTTTTAATGAAAAAAGTTGACATACACCAGCCAAAATATTAGTTTTTAGTAGCAGCAATTATTGTGTCACGTTTCGGCCCCGTAACTTCGATCATCTCTCAGTAGACCCCCCTCCCTCAAGCCTGACCATCCACCCCTGAGTAGCCTCCTGGAGCCTACATTGCACTGTAGAATCGGTCTATAGTATCTGACAGCTTCAGGAACGCAGAGGCGTGCCTTATGATGTTAATTCACGCTTCATGCTTCCTGATTGGTTCTTCGGCCTTCGTGTCTGCTAATGCCGCATTCTCATTGGCTGCAGAGTGAGAATGAAATGCTCGGTACTTGCCACGCCCTGCGTCTCTTGAAACTCGAAAACTTTAAAACAAACCGCCACCACCCTTAATTTTTTTAAAGCATTTTACAAAAACAAAAACAAAAAAAAAAAAACAATATATATATATATATATATATATATATATATTTTTTTTTACGTTGTTGGTCGTTAGATGTAGATCGTAGTCCTATTACGAAAATGCAGACTTCCCCCGTAAATTGCGGGTTACCCCTTTAATAGATCGTCTGGAAATTTATTCCGAGAGGTTTATGTGCCAAATTAGTGAATCTGACAAGCCGCAAGCCAAGCACGGGGGTCGATTAGTATAGTAGACCGCCTGAGGACCCAGAACGTGCAACCGCAGTCTATGTCATAAACTGTGTCTGTGTATATATCTATTTTTTTAACGTTGATTAAACAACTGTAAAAAAAAAGTGTACAGGGAGGGGGGGGGGGGGGGGGTGCAGGTTGGTGAATTGGGTCACACCTGATGCGTGGCCGCTAGCTCTTTCACAACACCTGGACACCCGCCAGTCCCTACTCACTTTCCGAGTGAAATAAATTCTATCGCATGACGCTGCTCACTGCATGCACTGAGATCTCGCCAGGTTGCGGGAAACTCGGCCGAGGCTCGAACCGGGGACCTGTGAATCCGTACGACGAAATTTTTGCTCACGGGTAGCGATGCAGATTCTATAGGATAGTGGACCGTCGCGTTTTCTACTTTGATTCTACGCTTGCAGATACCTCATGTGTTATCTATCCACAAGCAGTGTTGCCAAATCATAAGTAAGAAAAGAAACTAAAAGGCTACCCAAAATAGCTAAAAGTAGCTAAAGTTTCCAAAAATATGCCAAAAGTAGCTAAATTTACCCAAGTCTTATTGAAACATAGCACTTCTATAAAATGAACATTTAAACCAGCTTATTTATACTCATTAGAACAATATTTATTTCTCATTGCACCGCCGTTTGGTAGTGGATTTTTGGAAGACATATCGATAAACTCACCAGATTCAGGAGCAAAGTTATCAGTTCTGACTAGTGAGCCTGAAACAGGAAGGGTACGTCGCGCTGAAGGGATCGACCTCCAAACATTCAGAAAATCGTCTGCTAGAACCGAAACTTGACCCCGCGCCCTTAAATTTGTTCAGACCACGCTGCATTTTGTACACATCCTGCGTTTAGGAGGAGTTAATTGGGTTCATTTACAGATTCGAAATTGAGGCGAAATCATGCAGTTTTTTTGCGGGTCAACGTTTGTCTTCAGATCAAGAAACGTGAAATTGCCATTTCCTGTAGCCATGACGGGCAACAATGAAATCTTTCGACAGGAGAAGAAACTATATAAGCCTCGCAAACTTGTCAAAAACTTTAATTACAACCCCTGTTGGCTGATCATATAAAATGGCGCCTGCAGCGTCTTCTTCCGCTGTTCCATACGAAGACATCGCCAGCGTTAGAAAGAGGCAAAGAGAGCACTGTCAAGGCAAGGGATTCTTTCCTGTGCGATTAATCCGGTCTACAATCCATACATATCATGACTTCAGTTAACTCCAGCAACAATGAGGCACTCTATCTCAGTAAAGAGAACTCGTGGCGCGTTTGGATGCAGCTAGGGGTGTCGCGAACTTTTGTCGAACCGGATTTTTAGGTCTAACTTTCGGGGTTCGACTGGGTCGAACCGGTTCGACGAACCTTTGAACTTTTCACCAGATTCGACCGGTTCGACTTTGTGGACAGTGTGGCCAGTCCTTGATACAAAACATGTCTAGGTTTGGAGAATTTTTTTTTTTATGCAAAGGGTTATTACACTTTATGAACAGTTGCAATTAAAATAAACCAATTTTAATCCCTGAGTGGGTTAATACCTTAATTTTTGTATACTGTATTAACTGAAATAATCAATCAGCGCTGCCCTTCATTCATCCCTGAGCCATCACCATCTAATCCCAAGCCAACTGACCAGCTTATCGCGCATGCGCACACGAGTCGAACCTCAATAAAAGGTCGTCGAATTTTACACTAAAAGTTTGAAAAAGTCGAACCTGATCGAACTCGAACCTCGGCCGGTTCGCGACACCCCTAGATACAGCACAGAAAAATTCAAGTACCGCTTGTAACGGTCCCCAAACCTTTATGTGGCCCACTCAATCGTATGTAGTCCACAACCTAAGTAAAAAAAAAAAAAGTTACCAAGTTACCAACCGCAGAAAATATGCTATAAAAAGCTAGAATTCACGGAAATAGCTAGGTATGGAGCTAGATTTTAGAAAAAGAGCCAATTTAGCTACTCGTAGGCGACGGAGAAATTTCGTAGCTAGTTCTAGCCTAAAGTAGCTAGGTCTAGCTACAAAGTAGCTAAATTGGCAACACTATCCACAGGTGTATTCCGTCGTCCGCACATATCCCAGAGAGAGAGAGAGAGAAGTACTACAACCAACTTTTTACTAAAACAAGAAAGCGTAGTTCTTTTCTTTTTTGAGAAATAAAATTGTGGTATAAACACTCGACTACAATTAGGTGTGAGCAATTTGGTGCCTCACAAAAGTCGCTACACAGTCCCTCAAGCACAGAGGCAGTCCCAGACATTGGTCTTAGGCGCTAAATGACTTAGGCGGCAAGCGTAACCCATCGTGGCAAAAGCAACAAAAAATAAAAAAAATAAAAACAATTTTGACGGCGAGAGTTTTATTTGAAATTCTGCGCGCGAAGTCCATGACGTCGCTGGTCATTCCTGAATGACCATCTCGGTCGTGAAGGCGAAGCCGCTCCTCCACGCGCCCGAAATGCCGAGAGAGAAAACA